CCGTGGTCCGAGGAATATTCAGGGGCTTTGTGTGAATGAGATGGAACATTGCCTACAGTGCATGTTTTTGGAATGTGGAAGGAAAGCGGAGTACCCGGAGAAAAGCCATGCTTACACGGGGAGAACTTGCTAACCAGTCACCCACCATGCTGCCTAAAAAATTCATTTTATGGTTATAAACTGAATCACTTCACAGTAACAGTACCTATTGTGACATCAGCTGAAGTGTCAAGATATAAAATATGAAGTGAAAGGTAAACATTTCTTGTTCAAAGAAGCAGAAGGAATCAGATAAAACCCGTGCTTTTTTATATAGTAAACACAATAAAAGTAACAAATATTTTGAGACCTATTATTGAATAGATTTCATAACCCAGGACTCTAGGGTTCAAAACAAAGGAAACAAATGCAAATACGGTACACAGATGACATTATAAATATTCATTCAGTCGTTCATTCGTTTTCCGATCCCCTTATCCTCACAAGCGTCGCGGTGGGTGCTGGAGCCTATCCCAGCCGTCTTCGGGCAGTTGGCGGAGGACACCCTGAACCGGTTGCCAGCCAATCGAAGGGCACACAGAGACGAACAACCATCCGTGCTCACACTCACACCTAGGGACAATTTGGAGTGTTCAATCAGTCTGCCATGCATGTTTTTGGAATGTGGGAGGAAACCGGAGTACACGGAGAAAACCCATGCAAAACAGAACATGCAAACACCACACAGGGAGGGCGTAGCTGGAATTGAACCTGGTACCTCTGCACTGTGAGGTCGACGTGCTAATCACTGGGCCACCAGGCTACCATTATAAATATTTAATATATAAAAAAATAAAATTTTGACCCCACAACCGCCTTGTCCGAGCTGACCACTGATTTATTCATGAGTTATTGAGGTGTGTGCTAACTGTATTGCCGTACTATTATTTTCTCTCTAGACCAGTGGTTCTTAACCTTGTTGGAGGTATCGAACACCACCAGTTCATATGCAGATCCACTGAACCCTGAGTGAAAAATCAAAATATGATTCAAGAAGTGTTCCTCCTCGCTGTTGCTCCGATGGTGGGGGAAGATGCCGGTCCGTCCCGGCAGACCCAAACGTATTGTGAGGGTTTGTTGGGAGCGTCTGGGGGGGGGCCCTCTGTTTTCAGTGCAGCGTCTGCTGTGATGCGGACTTTGTATCGGTCTGTCGTGGTAAAGAAGGAGCTGAGCCAAAGGGCGAAGCTCTCAATTTACCAGTCGATCTACGTCCTAACCCTCATCTATGGTCACGAGCTATGGGTCGTGACCGAAAGAACGAGATCCCGGATACAAGCGGCCGAAATGAGTTTTCTCCTCAGGGTGTTCGGGCTCTCCCTTAGAGACAAGGCGAGAAGCTTGGAGGTGTTTAGAGTCGAGCCGCTTCACCTCCACATCGAGAGGAGCCAGATGAGGTGGCTCGGGCATCTGATTTGGATGCCTCCTGGACGCCTCCCTGGTGAGGTGTTCCGGGCAAGTCCCACTGGCAGGAGACCCCAGGGACGACCCAGCACATGCTGGAGAGACTATGTAACCCAGCTGGCCTGGGAACGCCTCGGGATCCGCCGGGAAGAGCTCGAAGAAGTGGCTGGGGAGAGGGAAGTCTGGGCTTACCTCCTAAAGCTGCTGCCCCCGCGACCCGACCCCGGATAAGCGGTGGAAAATGGATGGATGGATGGATGGAAGTGTTCCTTCAGTTTTGCTGGTGTGAGATGAGAGTTGCTCAACTTGGCATGACAAATCATGCAGATAAGAACGCCGAGTCCGATCACGTTCCGTGATGCATGTGAATCCATGTTGTACATATTCGTCCAACCGCTTTCTTTTTTTTTGCTCGACATAGCAGAAGTTAAAACATTTTTTTTAAATCACGACAGTCACATGCTGACTACTGAGCGAACTAAATTTCCCGCAGCACTGATTCAGTGCAATGCAATGTGACATCCACAGACAGAGCTGAACGTGGGGCTGAGGGTTCGTGTGGGGCTAGAGAATGCTTCTGGCCTGCAGCCGGCACGGGGCTTGTGTCATGATTTTGATCTTGTTTTGTTTTTTTTCAGTTTACTGCAGGAGTGAAGGGCGTACCTTCCACCATCACACCTGTCACATGTCAGTGGTCTTTACATCTACGCCGGGAGTCTCCTGTCGGATTATTCATTTTACTAACTCTACAAGTGCCAAGTTTTTGAATTTTCTTGACGTTCACGTGACATGGTTTGCTAGCTTTTGTTTGATGGTAATTTGTGTGTAAGTTTATTGTTTATGTTGTCTTGTTGTTCGATGCTCATTTTGTTTGTGTAATAGGACTTGCTGGACTGCTTTATGTTTATTTTGTTTTATCCTGGCTCTTTGTTGCCAATGACTTTTGTTGTACTTTGTCGACTTTCTGTTCTTCTGGAAATAAATCGCTTGTTCGAAATTTATCCTTGTTTTCGTTTGTGGGATCCTATCCTTACTGGTTTGCACCTGAATATGACATTTTAGAAAGAGCCCTGGACAATTTTCTGGCTCAACTTTACAGCTGAGACTGCTCACATTCTATACAATACATGGTTGTTAGGTCTTGGCTAGGAGGTATGTTATTTTAAGATCATTTATGTCACAGATTCAAAAATATATTTGCTTCTCTATTTTCTAGTTTTTTTTTTTTTTTAAGGCGAGCTGAACGTGGGGCTGAGGGGTCGTGTGGGGCTAGAGAATGCTTCTGGCCTGCAGCCGGCACGGGGCTTATGTCATGATTTTGATTTTGTTCTGTTTTTTTTCAGTTTACTGCAGGAGTGAAGGGCGTACCTTCCACCATCACACCTGTCACATGTCAGTGGTCTTTACATCTACGCCGGGAGTCTCCTGTCGGATTATTCATTTTACTAACTCTACAAGTGCCAAGTTTTTGAATTTTCTTGACGTTTACGTTACATGGTTTGCTAGCTTTTGTTTGATGGTTCTTGTGTGTAAGTTTATTGTTTATGTCGTCTTGTTGTTCGATGCTCATTTTGTTTGTGTAATAGGACTTGCTGGACTGCTTTATGTTTATTTTGTTTTATCCTGGCTCTTTGTTGCCAATGACTATGTTGTACTTTGTCGACTTTCTGTTCTTCTGGAAATAAATCGCTTGTTCGAAATTTATCCTTGTTTTCGTTTGTGGGATCCTATCCTTACTGGTTTGCACCTGAATATGACATTTTAGAAAGAGCCCTGGACAATTTTCTGGGTCACCTTTACAGCTGAGACTGCTCACATTCTATACAATACATACATGTGTGATCAACTTTCTATGTAGAATTTGCATATATAATTCATTCTTAAATGGGTTTCCTCCCAGATCAAAATGGCTAGGTTAATTTTTAAATCAAGTTTAAATGGCCAAAATATGGACCAATGATCCACACTGGAGATGAGAAAGCGCACACAACACATTGTAGGACACGGGTGTCAACCTGGCAGTCTAGCGCCCAAATCCGGCCTGGCACACTATTGCAGGTAATTCGCAAAAGCAAATCATGTGTGTCACCTTCATGTTTCTTGTTAAAATAAGAAAAGTGCAAATTGTCTTCACTTATAATCATGTGATATTGGAAGCACTGTTTAGTACCCATCTCCCTTCTAAAATAAATTGAAAAGTAGTTGAACAATTGTTTTACTGGCATCTCATTTCATACGTTACATGGTTTGCTAGCTTTTGTTTGATGGTTCTTGTGTGTAAGTTTATTGTTTATGTCGTCTTGTTGTTCGATGCTCATTTTGTTTGTGTAATAGGACTTGCTGGACTGCTTTATGTTTATTTTGTTTTATCCTGGCTCTTTGTTGCCAATGACTATGTTGTACTTTGTCGACTTTCTGTTCTTCTGGAAATAAATCACTTGTTCGAAATTTATCCTTGTTTTCGTTTGTGGGATCCTATCCTTACTGGTTTGCACCTGAATATGACATTTTAGAAAGAGCCCTGGACAATTTTCTGGGTCACCTTTACAGCTGAGACTGCTCACATTCTATACAATACATACATGTGTGATCAACTTTCTATGTAGAATTTGCATATATAATTCATTCTTAAATGGGTTTCCTCCCAGATCAAAATGGCTAGGTTAATTTTTAAATCAAGTTTAAATGGCCAAAATATGGACCAATGATCCACACTGGAGATGAGAAAGCGCACACAACACATTGTAGGACACGGGTGTCAACCTGGCAGTCTAGCGCCCAAATCCGGCCTGGCACACTATTGCAGGTAATTCGCAAAAGCAAATCATGTGTGTCACCTTCATGTTTCTTGTTAAAATAAGAAAAGTGCAAATTGTCTTCACTTAAAATCATGTGATATTGCAAGCACTGTTTAGTACCAATCTCCCTTCTAAAATAAATTGAAATGTAGTTGAACAATTGTTTTACTGGCATCTCATTTCAAAATTACTTGTCCATCAATTTATGGAGTATATGTGATAATATGGGGCGATCATACATTTATTTGGTTTGACAGCCATAATGGACCTCAGAGGGTATGATGTGGCTCACAACAAGAATGCGCTTGACACTCCTGCAGGGGGAAAATCCATCATGTCAATTTGTTTGAATGACCCAAGTATCAACATCCTTGGCAATATGAATGTAATGTTGTGAGCAAGGTGGTCATCTGGTTACCATGTCCGCCTCACAGTACAATTTGTGCACAGGTGTGATTGTGAGCGCGAATGGTTGGTTGTCTGTGGGCCCTGCGACTGGCTGACAACTAGTTCAGGGTGTACCCTGCCTACTCCCCAATGACAGTCGGAGTAGGCTCCAGCATGACTCTCGTGAGGAGGATAAGCGGAATAGAAAATAAATGTAATGGTGGATGTTTTGAGCAAATTACTGAAAATAAAGGTATACTGAGACTGAAAATACAGGTATACTGAGTGATGAACCGAGAGTTTGATTGATCCCCAATAAACATCCACTGTTCGGCAATATATATATATATATATATATATATATATATATATAAATAAATATATGAAAAATCATGGATTGTACCTCGACTCGGTCATATAGTCCAATCCAAGAAAGCTGAAAAGATCCAGCCCCTGCGAGAATCAGTTGTCGGACGACTTGATTTTCCAGATTATTGTGGATGGAAACCAGGTTTCCACCAAGCATGTTGCATACAGTCTAGTGGGAGGAAAACAGGAGTAAAAAATGTAAATCACAAAAGCAATTGGCGCAAAATACACGAATTGTGTATGGAATCGTTTTAAATTTGCAAAAGACCACTGACGTGTGGTGTGTCACCAACACCGTACCTCGGCAAGAGCAAAATTTAACTCTTCATTTTGAAAGATTAAACAGCGGTTGTCCAACTGAGTCCAGCCTGGAGGGCAATAGTTGTCTGCAACATATACAACAACAAAGATGTGGCCAAAAGACGAGATTAGGTGTTGGTCCCTAACAGAAAGAAGGTTTGCAAATTTGAATTTCGATTGATGTCTTTTCTGTAGTCGCACATTTTTCTCTGGGCACTCTGGCTTCCTCCCGAAGAGTAAATACACAGCTGTGACATACCATATTGTCTCAGGTACATCATGGCACAGCCTGCATCCGGGATCCTCTCTGGTTTGGCATACCCCGGCTTCCATTGCATGTTCTTTCATTTTTTCACTCACCTTTTTATCTTAATCACAGTCTCTTAATAGTCCATGTTGATGAATGTAATACATGCATGCATGGTTGTATGTCTCCAAATGTTAGCTCTGTGATTGACTAGTTGTCAGTCAAGAGTGCCAAGTTTCACAGTTCAGAATAATCATAAATTCAAACATGTAGTATGCAAGACAGTCACTAACCTCTGTTGAAGACAAAAGCCCACTGTTAGAAAGAATAAAATGACGATAAACCTTTTATCGTGTCAAACACAACAGCTGATGTAGAGTCAAATACAGTAGGAGTTGGACTAATTCATATTAAAATAGGTTAGTTTAAGAAAACTTCTGCTCAAACCATCGAGTGGTTGAAATTTTAGATTGTTCTACTTACAGTTCCAGTGAACAGTCCACACAACAGTAACAAGTGAAGCGCAAATGCCATCTGTGGAATGAGGAGAAAAAAAAACATTCCAATGTCGGATGTCCATTTGTATTCACATTTGACGTTTAATAATTACTGTTCAGTTGAATTTAGACTTCAGTTTAAGATGTTGTGTTGATAAAAGTATCAAAATGTACAAGACATTGAGATCGAAAAGTGTGACGAAGCGTTACCTTTGCTGTTGTGAAGCTGACCCTCAGGCAATGAATTGAGGACAGCAAAGGAGCAGCTTTTTAATTTGCCAGCACTAGACTGCCATTATCCTCATTACCATGTCAGAGTTGACTGTCGGTTCTGAATTAACTGATGATTACCACTTGCCTGATGACGCATGCTGAAATTTGTCTTCATAATTGGCTTCATTAAACACCCACAAAACAAAGGCACGTCTTGAGGGGAATTGTTTTGGTTAATTACTGTAATTGAATTAGTACACCTTCAATGCACACCTCACATAAAACATGCAGGCAAACTAAACGTGAGAATTCATCGCAATTTGCAAAACACCGTTTCTCAGTTACAACCATACACACTTAACAATAGAGAACAGAGTCATTCCCGGATCGAGAAGTTAGCACGTGAGTCATTTCTACATTCGTAATCGTTTTGGCATTAGCATAGAGGTAAATTTGGTGCAAATGTAACTTGACCAAGGAGATGTAAGAAATTTCTATTTGTAGCAAAAATACTTTGGAGTCGTCTGAAATAATTTTGTACCTTTATGAAAAAACATATTTGTCAAAAATATATACAATTTTGGAGCTGTAGAAATGATTGATAACTTGTACGTGTGAAAAATACATTTCTTCATGGTGTGGAAAATCATTTTGTAGTTGAAACAAAATGAAATTTGTGGGGAGAAAAATAATTTCGACCTGTAAGAATGACAACTTATAGTCAAAGAATTAAGTCGCCACAAGGAGTCACAACTTTACTTTGCTGTTGCTGCACGGAGACGTGACTTATGCCGCAAACATCTCACTACTTGTACAAATACCAGATTGGCAGGTTTGGGAGGGTTACTGATAAATGTATCCCGCAACAGTTATTACTTACTTGTTAAAAAAAAGGAGTTGGTTATGTAATCCAAGTACCATAATATGGAAGCAATGTAACTTGAATACTCTTTACTTTTTTTTACTTGATTTCTCCAATACCAAATATGCCAACAAAGACAAAATAATAAAATAAATATTGCTACAATATTTATTTGTATCCAGTGGACCACAAGGCACATATTTTAAGATTGAAAAATCGCACAGCACACCACCAAACAAAATTGTCACAAAAAGAGCATATCTATGTCAATTTCCTACTTTTTGCCATCTAACAAAAGATCATTTATTAGTTCTTTCCGTCACTAGAATTTGCGAGCAGAGATAGATGGACAAAAATACATCATTTGTTTTTAATGAATAATTTTCTCACCAATTAAGTGAAATTTGAGAAGTTCCCACGGCACTGCTTGGGAATCACGGCTCTCGTGTTTATCGATGGGCTTCTTCTTCGACGCATTGTGCCAATGGAGCGCAACACTGCTTCCTGCTGACTGTGGCACCATACACACCAGACTCCACTGTACACTTTTAAGTCGCTTCTCTCGTCAGACATTGCACAGATTGTTGAACATCAGTATATGTTTGATAAAATATGGTTATTTTGCAAGAAATAAGACAAAGAGCAACGTCTCTTGTGCGAGTGCACAAGCGACTGCCCGCGCCGACAATGGTAAATGAGGCACTAAGACTGCAGTGCGCTTCGCTTCAATTCCTGCTCATCCCCTGTTGGAAATATGCACGGATCATCTAACTAAAATGGAACATGATTTATATGATCTTAACAAAGGGGAATCGGCAAACTCAAAACGGAGATTTTCAGGAGCCGCTTGACCAGCTGTGAACCAATCTGCAGAAGTGATGTTCTGGCTGAGCCCTGGTGGAGGTTAACGAGGTGATAGAGAGGGGTACTAAGAGAATTCTGCCAGTGTCCGATGAGTTGGAAATGTGATGTAATGGGCAGACTCATTCTTCGGGAGAATTGGGATTTGAAAGGAGCTCTGACATGGACTTGTGATGACATACAGTTACAGAAATGTTAAGCCACCTGGTAGACTCGAGTCTGCGGGGTGCTCTCCTAGAAGAGGCTTGCCCTGAGCAGTGGGGACACATACAGTAATAGGCATTTGCTTTCCAGCGGGGATGGCAATTGTGTCTTTCGACTGCAGCTTCACTCTGCCCACAAGACCAACTTATTGTGCCTTGTTCAAGTAGATATTCTGCAAATGTCTGAAAACTGAGGCACAATCACAGTCTGGGGAAATTTCAGTTTCGGGAACAACTATTGCTAGTGTTATACCCACTTGTTTTGGAAACCCTGTGTTAACGTTAGTACAGGCAAGACAGGGTACAAGTTGGCCTGCTGCTCCTTCTAAGCATAGGAAATCCTCTTTGGCAGAGGTGGGCAAACAACAGCCCGCCAGATCCGGCCCATTGGTCTTTTTAATCCGGCCCACCGTAGATTGTTACAGAATCAAGTTTTGCTGTGAGGCGGCCCGGTGTCCAGTGGTTAGTGCGTCAACCTCACAGTGCAGCGGTGCAGGGTTCGATTCCGGCCTCCGTCCTCCCTATGTGGAGTTTGCATGTTCTCCCCAGGCCTGTGAGGTCAACGCGCTAACCACTGGATCACCGGGCCGCATGCTTTATTAAGTGCAGCCAAATTTCCAAACATCCAGAAGATGGCACAGGGAATGCTGGTATTGTTTGGCTCTACATACAGTATGTGTGCGAACAGACTTTCAGTGTGATGATCACCAACAAAGTACCCCAAAGATCTGTTCTGAGAATTGCCACAACACGATGACCACCAGACTTCGATGCACTGACTAAAAAGGGGGTCAACAACACTGTTCTCATGAAAAAGTATGTTAATACTTTAATGCTTTTGTTCTGTTTATGCTTGATATGTTGTGATTATGTTGTTAACAAATGCAGTTTGTATCGTATCTTGTGCTGACCCGGGCTGTCTGTCAAATTTTAAAGCCAATTTGGCCCCGGAGCCAAAATGTCTGCCCACCCTTGCTCAATGGGAATGATGGGATGAGATGTCAAGTAGGTTTCAGGAAACAATTGAGCTATGTTCATGATTTTGAAGCTCCATCCATTAGACAGTTTTATTGAACTCCGCTGACTGTGACTTTGGCTACCTGTCTTGTTCTCGCTAATCTTCTTGTAAGATGGTGGGTCGCAAACATTTGGCCTCACACTTAAAGTTTAGCTTGGGAAACGTTTTGGAGTCCTTGGTTCGTATATGTCGAACCTGGTCTAGTTTAAAGACTACCTTGCATTCCTGCTTGAGTTGAGTTCTGCATATTTTTGTTGGACAGGGACTTTGTTCACAGGCTTGTCACAGTTCCTGACAATGTGGCCATCCTCACCACACTTGAAACAAAACCAGGCCTTTCGTTGGGTTCTTCAATTAGGACTGCAATGTGGCATGATTTGATGGACCTGCCGTTCAACCACCGGTGCACATGAGATATTTGACAAGATAGAAGTTTTGAACTCCTGTTAGTTCTGTGGGGGGGGGGGGGTTTGTGTGTGCTTCTTGCTATTGAGCTGCATTTGTAAGTGAGATTCTTGGTTTCTCAGACTTTCAGTTTCAAGGATATATGACTGCAGTAAACTAGTTACTGGAATCACAGGGAGAGAGGTCAGGCACAGAGTGAATGTTTACAAAGGGCTTGGTCTTGATCGAACCAAGATGATGCCACATCCAGTCATTTTTTAAGCCCACCGGTCTTCTTCAGTACGAATTTGTACTAAAAGCCCTGCAAAGTTAGAAGGCACTACATTCCAACTAGGACCAGGCTGTGGTCCTAGCAGCCATGTTTAAACTGCGTTAGTAACTGTCGGTCAGCATTCACCTGCTTTTCACCACCTCTCTTCACAGCAGTGCATCAAAGATTCTGCAGCCTCTGAATGCAATCAGATGCTGTCTCTCCTTGATTTTGATTAGTGTTTAAAAAACCTTGCAACCAACTCCTTACCATCTTCAACAAGCCTATCAGCAGAATAAAGCAGCTGAATATAATGTCTGGGATGTGCAGATGTACCAAGCTGCCTTATGACATCTGAAACTGGGGGGAGCAGGCTCTCCAGTATTTTTTTTCCATTGAATATTAGCTGAAAGACTATCATCATTGAACATTAACTCTTCATGAAAAGATCATGTCTCGTAATCTGCCTCACCTGGGGTTTTGGGAATGTTACCAGAAAATGGTCTCATCCATTTGGAATTGCCAAGCTGATTTTTGATCACGTACCACCATGACACATATTTCAAGTGGGTTTGTTACTTCATTACTCACAGTTGGAATTTTTGGGCAATGGATTTAATTTAGTTTGGGTGTTGTAGTGGAAGCGCCTTACTACATACAGATCTGCTTTTGCAAACTAGAGTTGTGTTGCTGTTGTTCGAGTGTGCACCATCATCAGAATCCCCACTTTCCCTGGAATTGGTGGAGGACATGCACAATGGAGGTGTGGTTTGATCAGTAGACGAGGTGTTGGACAATGGTCTACCTGCCACTTTACTCACGGGTTCACACTTGCAACTTCCATGGGAAGCGAGTCACTGTTGGCTAGTTAGCCTGCTGACTTAAATTCAACAATGATTAATTCTCCTCCTCATTGTCCTGGGTCTTGCACGCTCCTTAGTCCAGCTACTGGACCGTATCAGCTTCCTATTTCACTTAGTGTATTGTCCAGGTGTTCCCTGTTGTCTTGTCAGTTTGTTTGTTTTTAGTTCTTTGCTCGGGCAGCCCGGTGATCGAGTGGTAAGCGCGTCGACCTCACAGTGCCGAGGTGCAGGGTTCGATTTCGATGACCTCCCCCGTGTGGAGTTTGCATGTTCTTGCGTGGGTTTTGTACAGGTACAACAGTTTCCTCCCACATTCCAAAAACTTGCATGGCAGGTTAATGGAACACTCTCAACTGTCCCAATGTGTGATTGTGAATGCGATGACTGGGAACCAGTTCTGGGTGTAGCCCGCCTACTGCCTGAAGACAGCTGGAATAGGGTCCAGCAAGCCCCGCGACCCTCATGAGGACAATCAAATTAGAAAATTAACGTATTGCATTGATATTCTGCCATTTTATCAGTAACAACTGTTTTTGAAGCTGGTGCATTTTAAGGGTCTTAAGAACTTTTAATTACATGGGTGTGTTATCATGTCATAAAGAGGAAGTGGCCACGCC